GAGAGAGAGAGAGAGAGAGAGGGAATATAGATAGAGAGAAAGCATAGACCAGCATGGGAATAAGACACCAACCTTGAAGGAGTCTGGCAGATGTCCCTTCAACCACTCCAGTAACACCGGCAGTTCTGTCTTCTCCACTTTGTGCAGCTTCATAGCTGGTGCTTGTCTCCACGTGCGCTCAACACAATGTGAGGCAGTAGCCAGTTGCCAGCCTTCGTGTGGGACAGGGGACGTTACTGGGCTTTAGAACAATGCAAAGAGGTTGAGGTTAGTACACTGGTAAAGGTACTTTTAATCATATCGGCCCCAAGCCTCCCCCCCCCCCAACCCCTTTTCCACTCCTACCCCCGCCCACGTATTTGTGTAAACCAATAATCACAGTCAGCACTCAAATAACCTGTGAAATGGGGAGAAATCAAAACCAGAGTTCTCTCTTATATAGTGTGGGGGTCAAAAATAAGCGCCGCCTCTTAAATAACCTAACAGTGTTGAGGTCAAGGACTACAATAGACGCTAGTTGAGGCAGACAAAATACACTTAGTTTAAAAGATACAGGAGACAAGGACAGATCGAGTTTTTTTATTAAAAAAAAAAAGAAGCACAGTGACACAATAAGGGTCACTTAGTGTAAGGCAACTGCAAAATAGACGAACAAAAACAATAGAGAAAAAGAATAAAAGACAGATCCTAAAAAAAGCACCTTCCATCCACCCGTTTTGTAGAAACAGACAAAAATGCAAAAGCTATTTAACTATCCCCTAGCAAGAATACAATATGTATTATAAACACCTGCATCTTCATAGGCTTGTCGTGGTCTTGTCACCTCGCTCACTGTCGATGGTAAAAAGGCTTGAGTTCAATTCCTGATCGAGGTTTGTTTTCTTCAGTAGCTCTGACTGTTGTCTGCTGTCTTCTGGGAGGCTTTATCCCATTCAAGGTTATAGGATCGAAGCAGCATTGTCTAATTTGTATCGAGTAGGGCCTAAAACAGTTTGATTCAACTGGCGCACCGTTAGCTCAGTTAACACTATACTGCTACGGAGTGAATGGTCCTAGTTCGAATTGACGACGAGGAGTTCAGAGTATGGGTTTCTTAGGGGAGTTTTAAAAATTCTCCATCCATTTAGCTAGTATTAATGGGAACTCGCATTGAATTCAGAGGTCCTACCTCCTGAAAAAACTTTCAGTGTTGAAAGAGGCAGTGAAACTCATTCAAAAACGCAACGTCAGCATCGAGAATACCGGTTCAAAATTAGAACTTACGCAAAAAGTACCAGCAATGACCTGAATCTGACACTTCCAACTTCAAACCGGATAAGCAGGCACAATATCGAAAGATCGTGAAACTGAGTCAGCTAAGTAGGCCTAAAGACGTGTCAGCCATATCCGTGTGCATACTACGAATTACGCACTACTGCATAGCACACAAACCATGAATGTTGAGTGGTAACGTCGAATGGGCACAGCGCTGTTACACACAACACTAAATGTGAAAGGGCAAGCTGATCACCGCCGATATAGTACCAGCGCAAAGGGCAGATAGGACACGATCTCGGAGAGTTTCCATTCATGTTTGTCTCTCTTACACACCCTACGGTTGTGAAATGAAACATTAACATAAGGATACTGTAGAGGAAAACAGATACAAAGGAAGCAATAGTATTGTCACAGGTTTTTTAGTTCTATTATACCGGTGTTTTATCCTGATCTAAGTGTGGGTAACCATACAATACATAATTAATCATAATATGATGAATTCCAAAAATGTCTCAGGCCTCAGAGTGCTGTCAAACTACTGGTTTATTTCAAATCCTAGAACACAGGAATGCTCGTGAAGGAAAACAATCAACATGAAAAGCCCACTCTATCAATCTCAACTGAGGAAATTTGTGGTTGGTGGGTACTCCAACATGGCATGGTCCTTCTTTTTTTAAAAATCAAATATCTATTGTTCATTCTCTTCACCTCCTTCTTTTTAAATAATTTTATGTTATTCTCTAGTGGAACCTGGTATCTTCGGCAAATATGTTATCTATTTGTCTTGCAAGTGCGTAAAACTATAACTATAACTACATGGTTAGATTTTTTTTTAAAACACGAACCGAAGGTCAGTCAGGTGAGAGGAAATTTCGCAATACGGTCACACGATCAAAACACGATGATAATCATAATTGAATTAATGAATGTAAACTATTTGCACCATCCATCGAAATATCACTACTTCTCTGTATGTATGTATTTATGTATGTATGTATGTATGTATGTATGTATGTATGTATGTATGTATGTATGTATGTATGTATGTATGTATGTATGTATGCATGCATGCATGCATGCATGCATGTATGTATGTATGTATGTATGTATGTATGTATGTATGTATGTATGTATGTA